GGGAGGGGCGGGAGAGGGGGGGGTGCTGGGCGGGCGCGACGCCGCCGCAGAGTCTGTCCGCGAGTTGGGCGGGCGGCGGGATTGGCAAGTGCGGCTGCCCAGACGTCGGAGAGGGTTGTGGTTGTGGTTGTGGTGAGGGGTAGGGTTGCGGGTGAGGGTGCGGCTGCCCAGACGTCGGAGAGGGTTGTGGTTGTGGTTGTGGTGAGGGGTAGGGTTTGCGGTGAGGGTGCGGCTGCCCAGACGTCGGAGAGGGTTGTGGTTGTGGTTGTGGTGAGGGGTAGGGTTGCGGGTGAGGGTGCGGCTGCCCAGACGTCGGAGAGGGTTGTGGTTGTGGTTGTGGTGAGGGGTAGGGTTTGCGGTGAGGGTGCGGCTGCCCAGACGTCGGAGAGGGTTGTGGTTGTGGTTGTGGGGAGGGGTAGGGTTTGCGGTGAGGGTGCGGCTGCCCAGACGTCGGAGAGGGTTGTGGTTGTGGTTGTGGTGAGGGGTAGGGTTTGCGGTGAGGGTGCGGCTGCCCAGACGTCGGAGAGGGTGCGGTCCTCGTCCGTCTCCTCGTCGATGGCGTACCCTCCGAAGAGGAGCATCCCGCCGCACCCGTCCTCGCCGCCCTCGCCGCCCACCCACGCCGCGCAGTGCATGCACCGCGCGGGCGGCGCCTCCTCGCCGCTGCCTCCCACCGCCGGCGAGGTCGCGACGCGCCTCCAGCCCCAGCTGGTCGTGTCGAGCGCGTACGTGTCGCTCAGCTGGCGCGACCCTGCGGGAGAGAGGCGCGGCGTCGGGGAGGAGGGCAGGGGCGGCCGCACCCTCTTCGCCGCGCGTGCCGTCGAAGCCTCCGTGGATGAGGAGCGTCGCGCCGTCCGGCGCGAGGACGGAGCTGTGCCCGTCGCGGCCGCACGGCGCCTCGCCAGACGTCTCGACCCGCCGCCACGCCAGCCGAACCGCGGAGGCATTCGCGGCCGCCGCCGCGCCGTCGTCCGCGGCCGCGACGCCGTCCTCCGTGGCCGCCGCCGGAGCCTCAGCCAGCTCCCACACGTCGCTCAGGAACTTACCGCTGTAGCCGCCAAACACGACCATTCGGCCGTCGGCGGTGAGGGTGGCGGTGTGGCCCTCGCGCTTGCTCGGCGGACCGGCCAGCTTGAGCTGCGCCCACTCGGAGCGCGCCACGTCGAACCGGAAGAGCTGGTTGGTCGGGTCGAACGCATTGCCGCCGAAGAGCAGCATCCAGCCCCGCCGCGGGCAAAAGACGGCCGAGTGGCCGTGGCGCGGCGTGGGCCAGCTGCCGTTGGCCGAGAGCTCCGTCCAGGTGGCCAGGAGCGAGGAGGCGAGGAGGAACATCGCCAGGCCAGTGGGAGGGATAACCCAGAGAAGAAAAGGTATTGCCTGGCTGGTTCTCTCGAGGTGGATATCCTTTGGCCGCGTTGGGTAGCGAGGATTGGTGTGACGCGATCCACGCAGGCGTGTTTTCTGGCGGCCGACCGTCAGTGCACGGAGTTGCCCCTTCTCCGACTGCCCCGGCTAGTTCACGAGTTTCGCGGGAGTGACCCCATGCGTCAAACCCGAGACCTACGCCGAACGTCTCGAAGTCGAGCAAACGCAGGTCGCAATTCTTCTCCCGCGCGAACCGGTATTCGCCCTTCTCGTAGCGGGCCGTCACAGGTGCCCCCGCCTCCGCCTCCCCCTCACTCTCCCCCTCCTCCTCTTCCGCCGCCGCCGCCTCCGCCTCTGCATCCTCCGCCTCCCTCCCCCCCTCCCCCCCCCCCCTCCGGCCGCGGCCATGCAGCATGCCCTAACACTAAGTCGAGCAGCGCCCGCTCGGTGTTGCCGAAGGCGACAAAAGCCCCCTTCCAGCCGAGCCGATCGCCACCCTTGCACGCAAGCGAGCTCGTGAGTTTCAAGTCGCCAACGAGGCGCACATGCCCTTTGCCGATGTTCGCCGCCGCCACGTCAGGTTGTTTTGGGTTACTGTAACTGAGGTGTGCAGTCGGCTCCATCTCGATGAGCATGCCCCACGCCGAGCGAAGGGTCTTGACGAGTCGTTTGAGCAGGTAAATGTGTCGTGTCGCGTGCTTCGCACGCGGGTTGACCATTGCGGCATCGCCGAGTTCTTCGTGCGGCTTGCCGTTTGGCGCCTTCTTGCCCGCCTCCACCGCCTGGCAGGCAACATCGAGCGGGAGGCCGAGGCGGCGCTGAACTGTAATGCGCATCGCCCACGTCTCCATCTTCATATCATCCCGCATGGGGATCGCATTCAGGAAGGCGCCAGCCCCCTCCTGGCTGACTGCGACGAACCGAATCGCCTCGCGCCAGCACTTGTGGTTCTTGCACCTGCCAGTCTTGTAGCGGCCGCCCCGCCGGGATGCCTCGCTGACGAAGGCTTCGGCGAGGGCGAGCCAGTTGCGATGGTGTACGCCGACGGTGTACCGCCGCTGCGCCTGCTGTAAGAACTCGCTGGTAGACGAGAACTCCGGAAGAGACAGCAGCTCCGCCGCCGGCGTAAGCTTGGGCGGGTGGTAGCGGCGCCGTCGCACCGCCTTGGTCTCCTGGAAGGGCCCGACGACGTCTTGGTATAGCGTGCGCCCGTCCCACTCGCGCCACGTCTTGCCGACCTCGTCGCGAAGGGCGCGGAGGCGTTTGTGAGCCTCCCGAAGCTCGTCGAAGCGCTCTCCCGGCGTGAGGGCCACGTCGAGGTCGCGGAATGGCTCGTGCAGCTCGCGTATCGGCCGCGTGAAAAAGAAATTTCCTAATATAGAATTTTACGGAAGAGCACGCGATTCACACGACACAAGGCGCGGGCGACGGCTTCCTCGAGGAAAGAGTCAACCAAAGAGTTTTAGATTGCCCCCTGGGCAAAGAAACGGAGGTCCTGATTTGACTCGCTCGTCCTCCAATACGGATAGCCCCCCCCCCCCCCCTACTAAGGCTAGAAGGAGCGTTATCACCTGCCAGTTCCAACCTGGGGGCCGCCTCCCCCGAGAAAGGGCTCTTATTCCCATTCCTCACCCTTCTCGGCCGAATATTGATCCGTTTCCGTGCCCCCCCCGCAAGCGCCTTTCTCCAGTGCCGCAGCGAGGCCTCCCAACAGCCCCTCGTGCCTTTGCCACGGCTGGTTTCCGACCGT